CTCCATACTCTTCTTGTCTCCTTCTGATTGCTTAAAACCACCCGCTTCGTCTGTGACTCTTAACTGGCCTGTCCCTTAATCCTCTTCTTGTTTTGGTGATGTTTCTATGATGGTTTTCAGTTCCAAGAGGGCAAAGGCCTGGAGGCTTTATTCTGGCAGCCGTTTGCTTGTAGGGATCACACTTTCAAGGCTCAGCCTGCAGATAGCACAGTACCAAACAGAGTCCTCAGCTAGCTCACTCAAGCCCTGCACGCAATGCCTGGCCTCAGTTTGGCCCCACAGCCCTTTCCCTCTTCTCTGATCAGCCCCAGCCCTGCCAGTAACCCCAGGCAGGAACTCTAACTTAACTCTGGTGGTTGCCAAAGGCAGAATAAAGGGAGAGATCAAGTCAGAGGGAATATATTGGTTACATAATTGCTGTTTGGAAGTATGCCTGCAGGTTGGAACTTTTTAAATGAATTTTTACATAGTTTGGTATACTTCATTAATTTTCCAGAAGCATAGGTAGCCTCAGCCAGGTGAGAGGTTTCCCTTAGTCTGTTAGGATTCACCCCATTCCTCTTTGCATGAGAGCAGTGTTTTCTTCCAGAAATGGAAGCTGTGACAGGCTCCCTGTGGTGGAGCAGTCTAAAAAGTAAAGCAAAAGATTTTACCATGGAAACACCTTAGCCATGCCTGGGGCCTTGAGGTGGACATGGTGCTTTACATGCTACTTTTATAGCAGGCTGTAGATAGAGGTGAGCTCCCTAGCCTGGGCTGTTTTCTAGCTGTCAGTTAAGCAAATTATGCTGATAAATTCAGTGTTCACTTTGTTCCAGGCGGTTTCATATTGGATGGTCAACTTGGAAAGACTAATGTAGTTCGACAAAGTGTATTGTTGACTATATAATTGATTAATATTGTTTGGGAAAGTTGCTTCCTATTATGACATGTTTTCCTATGGGAAAGCCATATTTAACTTATACCCTTTTGCTCTAAGAACAAAACCTACCTAAACTTAGGGTATCCAGCACAGCACCATGCTTTTATGGAAGCCAGTTCTTTGTGACCCTCACCCCTACCCAGTGGCTCAATGGCAAACACACCATATTAATATAAATAACATTTGGTGGTGATGTTGCTAGCAAATCATTCCCAGTCCCATGTGTCTTCATTTTCTCTTTGTGATGTACTACCTCTCCCTCAGTGGACTCTGCCTACTGTAATGTTATTTCTTTCTGCCACATTGCCACTTACCCACTGTCCCTGTTTCTCCTTAAGCTGGATAGCTTTGACTTAAATGAATTTTGTTTCCCATCACCTAGGTTAAGGGTGGCAAATAGGTTTCAATTCTTGTGCCATCTCTGATCCATTAATAATGGCTGCCTGGAGTTCTGAGTTGGTAAAGATTCAGAGGTAAATCTAAGCTTAGCCAGGAAGAATGCTGATTGATTAGCATTGTCTGTGATGGGCACAGGGTTAGGGCTCGGAGAATTCCTATCTAAAATACTCATAAAAATATTAAAAATCAAAAAAACTCATAACACATCAGATTATGAATGGTGATTGTGTGCAGCTTAGCCAGGAAGAATGCTGATTGATTAGCATTGTCTGTGATGGGCACAGGGTTAGGGCTTGGAGAATTCCTATCTAAAATACTCATAAAAATATTAAAAATCAAAAAAACTCATAACACATCAGATTATGAATGGTGATTGTGTGTAGATTTTTATAGATTACAGGGGACTTTAATGTTCTTTTCATAATGTTCTATGTTTTCTACATTTTTGACAGTGAACATGTATTACTTTAATAAGCAGGAATAAACACTCAGTGTTATTTTGAAAAGAAATGTCTTACCTGAATGAAACCAGTGATTTGAATATGCTGTGTTGGTGCTTGATTCTATAGTTACAATATACCTAGCAGGGGGCTAGGAGCACTCACTGTCTTTTCCTTTGCTGTATTCTGAAAAATTCTTTGATGCTGGGCCATTGCTTTTGCTGTGAGGTAGAATGTGGGACTGGCTGGTTCACGTCTCGTCTATTAATTGGGCAGGTCGAGGTGGCGCTTCCATCTATGGCAAACAGTTTGAAGATGAACTTCATCCAGACTTGAAATTCACTGGTAAGTATGTAATCTGGCTGGACTGGGTATGAAGGGGGAGTGGATTTTAAAAGCTTGCTCTTTTGGCTGTGATTCAAGGTGAATGCCTGACACCCTGGCATGGTGCCAGATAGCTGCCCAGCCATGGCGCCACAAAGAGCCCTGGCAGATTAGAGAAAGTGGCGCCTCTCACAGAGTCCTGAGCAATTCAGTGTACTTGTTGAATGTCATAAACTTTAGAGTATCGAAAGCTTCCCCCAAAGAAACAGGAGACTTTGCTTGGTTTTTTGAGGGGAGTCAGGAAGATGGTCCAGCAGATAGCAGGGATCATCAGCGGTTGAGGCTAGGGAGCAGACGAGGACAGGAAAGATGAGGTCATCAGGGCATTGCAGTGATGGCCTTTGTGAAGAGCAGGGAGCCTGCCCTGAGGGGGAGGTTGTCTGGGTCTGGGCACTTAGTGACAAAGGACAGAACAAAGTCCTGGCTTCTTTTCATCCCTAGGAAGGGTAGCAACTCTACACTGGAGCTGCGGGGATTATTCATGCTCTCTCTTCTCTTCCTTTTTTCCACCAGGGGCTGGAATTCTCGCAATGGCCAATGCAGGGCCAGACACCAATGGAAGCCAGTTCTTTGTGACCCTTGCCCCTACCCAGTGGCTCGATGGCAAACACACCATTTTTGGCCGGGTGTGCCAGGGTATAGGAATGGTGAATCGCGTGGGAATGGTGGAAACAAACTCCCAGGACCGCCCGGTAGACGATGTGAAGATCATTAAGGCATACCCTTCTGGGTAGACTTGCTGCCCTCTTGGATACACCCAGGTCTTCTGAGATGGTCCCAATGAACCAGCTTCCAGGTGACCTAGAACTTCATTCTAGGTCAACATAACTCTAAACTTCATTTTGGCCTTGTAAATCATGGAGCTAATAAGGAAGCCTGGGGTCTTGGGTGAATTAGAGATGGAAGTATATTTGAATAGTATGCTTCTTTGCTCCTCCCCCAGTGCCTAGGTTGACAGCATTTGCAGAAATGCTTATGCATGTTTATTCACAGGCTACTGTTCACTGCACATGACCCATACTGCTCCTTCTTGTGTGTGTCAGCTCTGATACACTTAGAACAAAATGAAGACTGTCATTTCACAGTGCCTAACCAAACTTCTTCCTGGGGAGATTTATATTTTGGCCTATTCTGCAGTCCAGGTTGGGTGACAGCAACAGAATTCAAAACCAAGTGGTGTCTATCAGCCTTCTTAACTCTATACACACTCTATTTCAGTCTCCTACATTTGTTCTTCCAGGGAATGTATGCATCTCTCTCTAATTTTCCTTCTCAAAACCAGAGAACATCAACACCGCTGTTTCTGACACTTAGACATCCCACGCAAAGCCACATTGAATTTTTGCCAAATGAAAAATGCATCCAACAATCAAGTTTCTAAGAAGGTGTCAAGTGGGGAATGATAATGTGTAATGATTGAGAAATGAATTTATTAAAAGGAAGCAGAAGCATTGACCATTTTTTTTCCCAGGAGGGAGTAGAAATCTGTAGTGAGCACAAGGACATACCGAATTCTGCTTTAAAAGCTGTATTCTCGTAAAGGAGAAGCACCACTTAAGTTTTTTTAACCTAAGACTTTAGAGAAATTAGTGAGATTTTTATAAAGTTTTTTTTTAATCTTTCTAAATTTTGGGAAGAGGGGGAGGGGTTAGAGGAAGGAAGTTGATACCTGTGTAATACATAGAAACTTACAAAATAAAATGCCATTGATGGTTGAAATCACTGCAGTGGTCTGATTTTAAATATTGCATGAGGTTCTAACAGCCATTTTAATCTCAACCATCTCACGTAGTATTGCAGAGCTCATACCTTCAAGATTTCACATCATTTTAGGTTTATGAATCTCAAGTGGACTTCAATTCAAGAGCAGTTCTTTTGAGAGGGGAGCAGCTGGCCAGTACGGGGATCCAAACCCTTGACCTTGGTGTTATCAACACTGTGCCAACCAACTGAGCTAACTGGCCAGCCCTCAGGAACAGTTCTGACTTTAAAAAGGCAGAACCAAAGAAAGAAGTTAAGTGATATCAATTAGCAGTTTTGAGTGAGGGGAACTACCTGTAGGTAAACCAAGCCAGTGTGCTGAGAGACCTGAACCAGCCCTCAAACTTGCAAGAGAACCACCTGCTCATTGTTATGGGACCATAGGCAGTATGTATTGTGGTTGCTTTCTTAAACTGGTAGCTCCTTGAAAAGGGAATTATAACGCCAATGTTTCTTATCACTCTATAAATTTTGGAAAAGGTGATTTACTTTATGCAATGGCCAAACAAGGTTCTGCTCCCCAAGCCTCCCCCACCTTCAGCCTCTTTCTCCATCTTTCCATCTCCTATTTCTCAAGAACAAAAAAGCAAAACCTAACAACAAACTATGTAAATGACTTTGTGACTTCTCAGAGATGGTTTTGGTGTACAAAGTCATGTTCTACACTCTGGGAAAATAGAAACATTTTTTTTTCAGCCTGGACTGGGTGAACAAAATTGGACCTGCCTCTAAGAGAAAGGAATAAAACACCTGTCCACTACTCTCCCAGAATTATAATCCTGCAAATTCCCACTTCCTCTGGGGCAAGGGGGTGATAGAAACATACCATCACTACTTTGAAGTAAAGAGGTTCTGTGTATACTTAGGAAGAGAGCAGTACAGCACAGTTCCCTTTTTCTGGAAAGGTACACTAAATATATGCTGCAGTGATCACACATGAGGGCATATGCCAGTTTTGATAAAGGATGTGACCTCAAAGAGTGCAACTTGAATTGTTTCACAATTTCTGGTAATTCTGCCAGTTAGCCAGCGATGTAGAAGTTCCTGTTTCTGTGTAAAGGGAGCTTGTTTGAGAAGAATCCTGCTTAATTTTTCTGTTGTATGAGTGTTCATGCCCTCTCAGTATAAGTACTTTTAGGACAAGTCTCATAAAAGTGGGGTGTGCTAGTAGTGCACAGATAGCTCATTTCAGTCATATCTGAAATAGATTGAGGTGAGGCTAACTTATCAGGAAAGGCAAGGATCAGTTTATAACTTAGATGGAGACTAATGAAGATAGGTGTGAGACTGCTGGAGGCTAATCAAGGGTCAGGAGAGATAAAGCTTTGGTGGGAAGGAAAGGAGATTCTAGACCTTTTGGAGAAGGCTTAATGTTGGGAGCAGATAAGCCAGTGAAAAAGGCCTTCAAACAAGTGCCCCTGGGATGGCTGAGAGAAGTTTGGCACCCAGACTATTAAGTGTATGGCCCCCAAGGGCCCTAGCCCAGGGCTTCTCGCACTTTACCATGCATAGGAGTCACTAAGAGAATCTATTAGAAGGCCATTTCTCATTCAGCATTCAGCATTCAGCCAGAGATTCTGTATTTCTAACCAGTTCCCAGGAGATGGTGACTGCTGGTCCAAGACAATACACTTTGAGTGGTAGGTCCCAGAGGTCACATTCATTTGTCCAACATGAAACTGAGTAAAGGGATTTTCCTAGGAGCAAGGGGCAGTGAGGACCATAACCTGATCTTCTGCCTCTTAGACCAGTGTTCTCTGCTTCATCCCGGTGGCCTTCGAAGAGTGAAGAGATTCAAAGCAGAGGATAAGCGTTAGTGGCTCCTGGCTTTGACTGCTAAGATTGAGCTTTATGAACCAGTGTCCTTTTGTTCCCACTTCGGTGCACTGTGGACATCAGATGGTGTGCGGCACTGATATCCCCTGTGTGGGCACTAGAATGAGTAAGATGGTGTTGTCAGTAGACATCACAGGAAGTGAAGGGAAAATGGCATCAGCAATTATGACATTGAAGGAAAAGGGCTCTGGGACCAAACTGTTGGGATTCATATCCCAGCTCCACCACTTATCACCAGTGTGCTCTTGAGCAAGTTTCTTAATTGCTCTGTGCTTTAGTTTGCTCAGCTATAAAATGGGGGTAATGGTCCTAGCCTCCCGGGGCTATTGTGAAGATTAAATGAGCTAGAACAAGTATTAACAGCAGGAACTGGCATTTAGAAAACACTTAGAATATGCCAGCTATTATTACTGGTGGTCCTGAAGCTGCCAGACACCTCTCCTGCCTCTTCATCCGAAAGTGTCAGTAGCACGACCTTGCACAGCCTCTTCCTCCTGCTGAGCTGATCTCTGAGAGCAAAGACTTTGTCTTATTCCCCTCTGTGAGTCTTCTCAGCACTTGTGCAATGCTTTGAGGTTATTGCTGAATGAATCAAATAAAAAAAAGTTCTCCATCACAGAAAGATTGATATCCATTTGCAGAAATAGCAGTACCCCAAATCTCCAAATCTAGGCTTAAACTGGTATGGCAGCAAAGCTTTTCCACTAAGCCCTCTGGAACTCCTCAGCTTGATTTATTTTGGGATTGTGTCTCCAGAATATGTCAAAATAGCTTTCCTGGCACAAGGCAAATGATTCCTACCCCCAGATCCTTGAGCCAATCTGAGCCGTCACTGGGGCTCCTCTTGGCACCATATTCTTGCAATGTGTGGAGGAGGAAGCATTGAAAAGCACATTTGTTAAAGTGGTGGAGTTTACTGCCTACAAAGCACTTTATGGCCTCAGAGCCTTGTCTGTGGAGTGGGTTGCTACTGTTTAGGATAGGGGATCTTCCAGCAACACCCTTACAGATGAGAGAGAAGCAAAGTGCAGGGGAGAAAAGCATGTTAGGGTCTCACTCTAAGGATGACTTGGTCTGATTTAGAAACTGGGTTCCTGTTTGTTCTTCCAAAGGGGTAATTCAAGATCCCTAACTGCATCTGAAACCACAGGTGATCAGTTGTGGACAAGGTTTGTGGGATGTGAGGCCTTTGTGTGACCTTGGGTGAGTCACTTTACCTCTAGAACTTAGTGTTCTCATTCATCAAAGGTTTGAACTAGGCCCCTTTTTGCCCCTAAGTTTCTGAATCTAGGTCACTCTGAGAAAATTCCTTCAGCTTCCAAGTTTCCATTTAGCATGCTATTTTGGAAGTTTGCCACTAGAGGCCACTGTGAGTACAGTTTAGCCTTGCAGCAGCTTTAAAAGGTAGAAACCTGCCAACGCCTTTCATGATTTTACTAAGCCATGCCTGCCACCCCTTGGATGTGGAAAACCAGCAACTGCTCAGATTGTGAGAGGCTAGAATTGCGATGTCAGCCTGGCACAGAATGAGCCTATGAAGGTGCTCTGTTGGCACAGGCTGATCAGCCTTCTTTTCTATCTACTGGGCTGGATGAAGGAGAAGCGCTTGATGCATGGTAAGGTTGGGCTGGATGAGTCCTTTGTGACCAAGGCCTGGTTCCATAGCCTGCCTTATGAAGAGCCAGTTGCCTCTTGGTTGCTTAATATTCCACTTTATGGTTGAATTCATTCATTCAACAAGTAATTTTGGGGCCCCCCTCTTTTATGCCCAGCTCCAGCAAATATTGTCATAGAATCAGAGAAAGTCAGCCAGAAGGAACCTTAGAAGAGAACACAGTTATTGTTGCCCCTTCTGTGTTTCATAGTCTGTGGATCGCTCTTGTATATATTTTTCTCTTAAATTCCCAAAACCATCCTCTGAGGTTAGCATTATTATGCCCATTTCTGGATGAGTAAACTCAGAACCAAAGGCAAGTAGCACAAAGTCTTGTACAGAGCAAATGAATGGATAGAATAAAGGGCCCCGGGTTGCATATGGCTAGTAAAAGGCAGGGCTAGGACTTGAACTTGACTTATGATCCCAAGTGCAGCTCTTTCCCTGTTATTTTCACCTTTGGCATACAGAAGAGGAAGATGAAGTTTCATAGTAAAAGAATAATCTGGTAGCAGGCCAGGGTTAGAAGCTGAATCTTCTGCCTTGCAGGCTGAGATGTCCAATCTGACTGCTCCATCCTAGAGCATCCCCAGACCAAGCTGGCTGGGAAGCCCCAGCCTCTGCTGTCTCCAAGCTCCTTCCAAGCAGAGCCTGAACCAGGCTTGCAGAGGCACAGCAGGAGGGAGAGTGCAAGTGACCCCAATCAGTGTGTTTATTGGATCACACTGTATTAGCCTCACCAATCAGCTGATCTCATAGAAATCATTTTTCTGTCCATGAGGATCTGACCATAGCTCCATTAAGAGCTGCTGCCCCACATACCTGTGAGGAAGCTCTTGTACAGCAAGAGCTTGTGTACAGGGCAGGGGAGGAGGAAGATGTAATATTTCTACTTCCTCATTACCCTGACGGGGAAAATGGCCATTTCACATTCACTGTATAAGAAAAGCCCCCAAAAGAAAGGGAATCCAAAGTTCAAAATTGTCTTTTTGGCAACATTCTGCTCTGAAGGGAAATGTTCCCTTGTGCCTCCCTTTTTGGAAGCATTTGTGATGCTGTTTAAGATTAAACAAGAGAAGGGAAGGAGCTTGTGTTTGGGGAGCTTAGGAGGTGCCAGGTGCACACATTATTCCATTTAATCCTCCCCCAAGAGCCATGAACAAGGCATCACAATGCCGATGGCATTCATGAAGGCTCCACATCTACTGGCTGGGCCTGGGCAGAGCTGAGCTTCAAGCTCGGGGTCTGCTCTCCCTCTGTTACACTATAAATTCTCATAGGGACAGTTCCCTTACTATTCTTTGCTCCCACCTCCCTCCAAGCCTTAGTTTTTCTATCTGTAGAATGAAAGGCCCAGTCTCTGGTCTAACTGCTATGATTTTATGATGTTATTTTTTTTCCAGGGGGCTCCCAGCACTTCCTCATCTAACTGGAATCCCGTACCAACTCCGGAGGGGATGATGGTATGGGC